TAGAAATAAATCAAGGAAAATTGAAAAAGTAAAGTAATGTTTTTATCATTTTTAAAAAAAACTTTGAAATTAAAAAATTTCTCTTATTATTTAATTAAATAAATATATTATTTATATTATATATAATAAAAAAAATATATTTTAGTTTGTATGTAAATATTGTTTTCGAAAATTAAAATCAAAACATGAAAGGGAAAGAGCTTTGCTATTCATTGTGAATTATTATAGATTATAATAAATATATAAATATGATATTTTATTTATTATTCATTTATTAGTATAAATTTTGTAAATTATTAATTTTCTGCATAATTTCTTATTGAAATTTAAATATATGAATTCATCTGCTATTGTTTTATTGATCAAAAATATTGTTTTTTCTTCAGATTCAGAAAATGAACAGATTAAGATTACTTCTACATTCTTATAACATAAAATAGTAATGATAATGCAAAAAAATTCAAAATCATAGTTTATATTAGATAATATACTTAAAATTTTTTTAGTACATTACACATAAAAACTGAATTTGTTTTCTTTTTATTGCAAAATCGTCTAGAAAAGAAAAAATTATGATAAATTCTGTACATGTAAACATTTTTTTCTGTTTGCTCGTTATGTTTGTTCAAAATGATTTAGTAATATTTTTAAATTTGAATTTTTATTTTTTTTCTAACAATTATCAATAAAAAAATATAAAAAAATATAAAAAAATATAAAAAAATCAAATATTTGTTTTGAAAATTATGTGTAAATTTTAATAAAAAATCATTTATCAATATTTAAAAAATTTTTTTTGAAGAATAGATTAAATTTTTTTCTTGAAACTTTTCCTTTTTTTATCAAAAATATTGTGAATGATCAATTTTATTTTTTTATTTTTTTCTTTTTTCATAATAATAAAAGAAACAAATTTTTCTATTTTAATCTATATTAAAAATTTTATTTATATTATAATTATTTAGGAAAATTCTATGATTTTGTCAATATAAAACTATTTTATATTTAATTGGATAATATATTGAAAAAATAAAAATAAAAAATTAAAATAAATATAATTATTAATATTTTTCTTTTTCGTTTTTTTTATTGTCTATGTGTTTAAAAATTCATAGAAATCTAATATATCTTAATAACAGTAAAATTTATCATATTTTTCAAAAATATATATAATTTTTCAAGTTGAATATAGTATTACTTATACTTTTCTTTTTTTCTTAATTAATTTCTTAAATATATCTTAATATAACATGATTTAAATATACAATATAATAAAATGTATTCTTAAATAATATGATTTATATATAGATAAAAAAAATAAAATGAAATAAAAAATAATAGGTACATAAATATATAAAATTATAAGAATTATTTAAACAAAAATTATATAGAAAAAAGAATAATATTTGAAAGCATAAAATAAATCAAATCATAAAAATACATAAGACAAAATCCAGGAAAAAAGAAAAAATATGAAATATATATGAGAACAATAAATCACTGACAAAAATATAAAATTTTTTCATCTTCTATAAATCATTTTTTTATAAAACAATTATAAAACTGTCATTTTTTGTAAATTATCTTTTATAAAGCAATCATAAATCAATCATTTTCTATAAATAATTTTTTTATAAAACAGTCATAATCTTGTATAGAAAAACAACCATACATAATTCAAGGACAACGATATATTAATGAAATGTAAAATTTAATCCAATTCTAATTCTTATAATCTCTACGTCTAATCGATATTTATTATTCGAATATCGAGAAGTTCTAGGAATAAATATTTTTTGCATGACGAATGGAACACACTTGACAAATCAAAAGGTTAAGCTACACGCTGTAAATTTAACCTCTCGTTTGATTCGAATCTCAAAGGAATAAACTATTCGCTTACATATACGATTTTCCTTGGTGTTATCTAGTTCAATTTCAATGGCCATCTTACTTTTAGATGTTCTACAAATTTTCTTCAAAAATCACGATGAATTAAAGAAAAAAATTCGGATCCATATCAATCGGACAAAACGCGACTAGAATGAAACGAAGATCGAGATGATTCTGGTCAAAGAATTCAGATGAAATTTTTGAGAAATTTTTCGAGAAATTCTTCGGGGAATCTTAAAATATTTGCATACCTTAATAATATTATTTATATAGAATATATGATTTGATGTATATATATATATATATGATATTCATTGGCGATGCTGAATTTAAATTGATATTCATAAGTCTTAGAAAATATTTCTTAGAAAATATTCTTTGAGGAATGAACGAATATTTTTATTCTTTTAAATTTGAAATAGTTTTATGAAATTATGTTTGTAATGAATTAATATAAATATTCTATTACATGTTATTTTATGTATTTATATAATTTTTAGATTTTATTATTTTTTTATAATAGAAGATTTAATTATTTTGTTGATTGAATAAATTAATATATCTATTCCATTTGAATTAATAATTATCTGAAGATACTAGTTTTGCAATAAAAAAAAGATGAATAGATGTGCTATAAGAAAAAATAAATTTTAATTTTGATTTTTTTTTTTACAAAATTTACTTTTAAGTTAGTATATTTATTTTTTCTATTTATTTAAATATATTTTTAAATTAAATTAATTAGAAAAATCTTAATTAATTATATTATACATTAGATATTATTTTATTTTAATAGAAGTTCATATTTAGTATAAGTAAAGTCAATTAACATCTTCGATTAATCAAATATAAATTAAAATTTAAAAATTTAAAAAGAAATATTTTTATATGATTTAACATTATATTAAAACATTATTATAAAAAACATTATTATAATTAAGTAAATTTTTTTTAAGAATATATTTTTTATAAGAAATATATTAATGTCATAAAATAAAGAAATTTTATATAATCATATATAATTCCATTATATGATTTTTATAAATAGTTTTCAAATTTAAAAAATAATTTATAATAATCTATAATAATTGTTTAATTTAAAATAAAATCTTTAAATATTAAAAATAAGAAAAATATTTATATTATGTATTATTTTAGTTACATTATCAAGATATATTATTTATTATTTTAATAATTATATTACTGTGATAAGTTTATTAAAATATTAATAAAATATTTATAAAAATATTATTAAAATAAATATATTTAAACTTCATTAAGCAAAATTTCAATCATAAAAATATCTAAAATTATTTATCATTCTTATTCTTTACAAACGTTTAATCTCTTTCTTAATCCAAATTCTAAAAATCGACTTTTGTCAAAAATCACTATAAATTTCGTCTATCATTTTTGCGGATATGAAAATTCAATCGAACAATGATCTATTAATATATCTCGATAAGCCAGTCAATCCTCGCGAATTATTTGCCATCTTAACATGAAACGCGTCGCGAAATGCGAATCGTAAATCTTTCCCTTTTGCTATGCAGCATTTTCCGATTGCTTTACAATCAGCAAAACCGAACTCTTGGGAATTTTTCACACTCGAACGCAGGTTTCATTGACCTTCAAAATAAGAACAATCAAGGAATAAACCATGAGTTGACTTTCACTCGATCGATCATTTTTCTTTTCTTTTTTGATCATAATTCTTTCCTCGATCCCGGATATAGCAATTACGAGAAAGTTAATCTCATTGACTTTCAAAGATTTCGTTCCTATACTGAAAAATTTTATTTTGGTGAAAATTCTAAAAAATTGATTTAGTTGTATTATATTTTAATTTAATAAAGATTTTGAATATACGATTGTTTGTAATGAAGTTTTTACATCATATTAGTTAACATTTACTTAAATTTATTTGAATTCATGAATATAATTTATAATAAATTTACTTAAATTTGAAATTTTTTAGTTTTTATTTATTTGAAGTTTAATTCGCATTTGAATGTTTAATTTATTTAATGTTTAATGTTTAATGTTTAATGTTTAATTTGAATTTATATTTCAATTGAATTTAAATATTGTAAATTTATGGACAATAATGATAAGATTTGTTATTAATGATTTTTAGTATGTGGTTGGCATTTGAGTTTATGTTTATTTAAAGTTAAATTCAATTCTCATTTATGTTTGATTTAAATATAATGTTTTGATTTAAATATAAATATATATTTGATATAATTTAAATTGAGTTTACATTTCAATTGAATTATTGTGAATTTAAAAACAAAAATTAAAAAAAAAAGTGTATTGTCAAAAATTTTGAATATATAGTTTTTTAATGAATTTTTATTATTTTTGACATAAATTATATTGCTTTTATTTTGAATTTGAATTTATATTTAAATTATTTTTTATTAAATTTTTATTTATATTTGAAATTTAATTTAAATTTGATTCCATATTTAAATTAAATTTAATATTTATTTGATATAATTGAAATTGATCAATTTATAATTTTGAGTTGTAAAAAAAAATATTTTGAAAATTAAAAATAAATTAAGTAAATAAGTATAAAACTCTAAAAAATAATTGTAAAATATATCAATTATAAAATTATATAAATATTAATATTAATAAATTTTTTACTAAATTATACAAATAAAATGTTTTATTAATTAAATATACGTTAATTTTATTCTATAAAATTAATTATAATTCATAGAAAAATCAATTTAGCAAAATATAGGAATAAATAGATAATTTATAGAAAAATATTTTTCATCGTTCGAATATAGAAAGAGAAATTAAAATTTAAAAAATAAAATTTAAAAAAAGTTATCAAAAAATTCGAAACAGTTGTTAAAAATTCAGAATATACATTTTTTTAAATACAAAAATAATCTTAATTTTTCATCGATCGAATTATCAAACATACAAGAACATATATTTTCGTTGATATAACATGTCGCAGATAAAAAGTGGAGGCAAAAGTGGAGGGATTATAAAAAAAAAAAAGAGAAAGAAAAAGAGGAAAGTGCATTCAGTCGAATGTGCATTATATCGTGAGAAAGAGGCTGAAGCAGATCGGTCTTTCTTACCTTCTTTAGTACTAAATCGGTTGACATCGACTTCGTTCACCCTGAGTATGACGTCGCCGGCCTCGACCTGCAAAACCAACCGTTTCTATCAAAACACATTCTGCTGAAGGATCAATTAGTCAGGAATGATGAACTGCCGTGTATCGAAGGAACCTATTCGCTCTATGACTTTCAGCAATTCGAATTCTCGCCAATAGATTAACGGCATCGCTATTATGCAAATATCTCGTTATTATGATATGCATTTTTTTAAAAAGAAATACGAAGGATTTTTGTACTAAATATATAGAATTGTATATTGCTGTTTTATTGAATCGAACGTTTATTATTAAATATTTTTCACTTCGAAAATAAATAATATTGTCAAAAAAAATTTTGTCTGATAACTCAAATAAAAAATTCTATTATGAAAATTTTGTTATCAAAACTCAACATCCATCATTTTTCAATCCAAAAATAAAAAAATTTCTGTTACGGAATGATTCGTCAATTTATTTTATATTTTAAACAAGAAAAATTTTATTGCAGATCAAAAGTAACTCATTATATACACGAAAATTTTTCTTTTCATCTTTCAAAAGTTAAATATTTTTAGTTAGTTTTTAATTTAATAGTTTTTATTAATGTTTTTATAATTTCAATATAGATAGATAAAAGTAAATAAAAAAAAAACAAATGATCATCAATTATTTTCAATTAAATTATTTTGCTTTTATATTAAAAACAAAAATAATTTTGTAGTTTTTCTTGATGTTTTCCTCAGCAAAAAAATCTATTTTATTGGATATATGATTAGATTTCTTCTATATTTTTAATTTTTGAAATAAATTAAAAAATATCAGCAAAAATAAATTTTTTTCGATCTTTTAAATTTGATCATTATTTAAATATATTTAAATGTTTATAATCTAATAATTATTTATGTCATTTTCTTTGAAATAGTTTAAAGAATCATTTCATGTCAAAAATAATTATTAACTATTATAAAAGCATAAAAAGCTTCAATTTTATTTTCAAATTTGGAAAATTGAAATTTTTTTTAAATTAAATTTTCAAAAACTTTATGTTTTAAGAAGAACAGTTTTTTAGATTCGTATTTAGCATAATAAAATTAAAGAAATGCTTATTGAAACTTATAAACTTAGTCGAATTATAATAACACGTATTGAATAGTGTTAAATTTTATAAAAATAATCATTTTACTATATGATAATAATATTTTTAAAATTAAAATTAAACATTTAATATAATTTTTTACATCATTACAAAAATTTTTAAACATTTCTAAGAATATAATAAATTTATAATATCTTAATAATATTAAAAATACTATTAAAATTTATAATATCTCACCATTCATCGAGAAAGTATGAGAACAAATCAACGTAACATAGTAACAAAACAGAATTTTCAACGATATTTCGTTGATTATTCAACAATAGCAGCGATTTACTGGAACAAGTAAATCAAACAATCGTAGTAGTCCCATTATTGCTAAAACTTGGCTTGCTATGCTATTCCCACGCTTTGCGTAACAACATACTACGTAATCTTCATATCATCAGCTGAATAGAACAGTTGTGAAAACGAATGTACTTTACATAACTTATGTTCGTAATTTGCAATATCTAATCGAATATTATAATACGAAATCAACAAATATTGTTCTCTAATTTATTTTATAGAAATATAAATAAAAATGATATTGTTAATATTAGATAATATTGTTGTAGTATGATAATAATTAGAATTAATTTATTATTTCATGAGTTCTTACTTATTAATTAATATATTGAAATTTAAAATAATTTCTAAAATTTAGGTATTTTAATCGAAGCAATTTCTATTGCTTTGGTTTTTTATTATTATGGATAACTTTTTTTATTTAAGCAGACATAACATAGGATATATTAGGATATATATTCAAATAGTTTCTTTTAAAATAAAGATTTATATATAAAATTTTATTATGTATTCTCGATTTAATTTTTTATAAAGAATCATCTTCTTTTTAATTATATTACAATAATTTATAAGAATATTTTATAAAAAGATTAATTTTATAAAAATAATAATTATATATATATATATATATATATATATATATATATATATATATATAATATAATAATAATTATATAAATAATAAAATAAGAAGACATTAATTTTATGATTTAATAATTTATTTTATTTTTATCAAATAATTATTTCTTAAATATTTTTTAATATATAATTAATAATATTTTTGAAATAATAATTCGTTTAACTTTTGTTATATAAAAGATTTTATTATCTTCTTTGAAATTGTGATATATGTAAGCATAGTGATAAAAATATTTTAAAAAATGTTTAATTTATTAAAAATCGAAACTTTTGTTTCAAATTCTTGCATTTTAAAATAAATTAATTTGATTCAATGAATTAAAATAAAAATTTATAAATAAACTTTCTTTTGCATTTATTTAATTTATTTAATTTAGAATAAATGCAACAGTAAAATGAACGTGCACCATTACACTTGAGAAAAAAACATTATACTAAAAATATCGTCCTCTTTAAACCATTCATCTTTTCTCTCTAACATTTCTTTCTAATTGCAATCAGAAAAATGGTACGACTTATTCCAGTTACAAGAACCAATATATATTATTATAATTCTATTGTTCGGATATGTAATGATGGCAAATTACATTGTTATATTCTATAATAACTTTTATTCGATGTTATCATTACGATACAATTGAAAATTCAAAAAATTAATTTAAAGTTATTTTAAATAGAAATATCAGAATTTAATATAATGAAGAATTTAATTTAATTTTACATATTAAATATTTATGTGAAAGAATATATCAATATTTTATATATAATAAAATCTATATTATATAATATAATAATTATTTATCTATATATTAGTAGTTAATATAATTATATTATAGTAGTTAATATATTACTATATATACTACTTTATACTATACTATATCATATTATATATGATTTAGATTATATAGATTATTATATAGATTAATTAAATTAAAATATAATATTACTATATATATTACTATACTTTATTACTTTACAATAAAACATAAAAACATAAAATAAATATAATACATTTAATTAATAAGATTATTGTATTATGTAGTTAATATAATCATAAATATTTAATAACTAATAACTAATGTTAATTTTAAATATTTTTTAATATTTTATAATTAAAGTCATACATTAATGAACTTATTAACATTAATGATAATTCCTTGTTTATAAAAAGAAATAAACATTTATAAACATTTCAATTAATTATAATATAATATATTATATTATAATATAATATAAAAATTCAAAAATATACATATTACTTAAATTTATTAAAAAATAAAAAATTCTGAATATTTCTTATTATCATTAATATAAAATATTTTAATGCTAATGCAAAATGCAATATAAATATAAATCACGATTGAAAATAATTCAAAACAAGAAAACTATAACTCTTTATTATACTTAATACTATTTTCTTTATTTATTAAAATATTTAATTCTGCGAGTTCTGTGAAAGAAAGATTAGATACATGGAGAATTACGAAATGTATTTTAATTATTGAACATCTGAAATACGACTTTCCATTACTTCGTGATTCGAACTTCTCTGAAAAATCGTTCTCCTATTTCTTCCGTTATCGTCTCTTCGATTTCCTGCAGCCTGCCTCCGGACAAATGGTCGTTCCCAGTTCGTGAAATAGAAGAAAACGAAATTGTTTACAAAAAGCTATCCGTCATGAATAGACAGACAGATAAGATACAACTAGATGGAAGCTCTGTTAGCACGGACAAATGTTTCTTTCCTTTTTTTTCGATAAATAAAAGAGCACGAAGTAATCGAAGTTAACAGAGGTAATCAATTTATGACATAAGATCATATTTTAAGCGAGAATTAAATCTCTTAATCCACAAATTTGTCTTCGATTTATTAATTAGAATTATTAAAAAAATTTTATAATATGAATAATAATTAAAAATTAGAAATTAGAATAAAACTATTTATTGTAAATATAATATGGAATATTATAAAATATAGTTTTTTATTTAAAACTATTGCAGATATCTGATTTTTTTGTAAATTTTATAAATAATAAAAAAAATTTTACATCATTAGTAATGTAAATTTTTTTTTTATATTCTATTATATAAAATATCATAATTTTTATCAATTATGTAAAATTTCAAGGAAATATTATCAAATTTGATGCATTTAAATAACAAAAAAATAATATAATATTCCATTTAAAAAAAAGGAACTGTATTTTTTCCATCCTCTGAGATTTACCCTCATCAACTTTTTTTATTAATTTTTGACTCTATATTGTATTGTATACTATTTTTGACTGTATATATTCAATTTATATAACATAATTTATATAATATAATTTATAAAATATAATATAATTTATAAAAATAAATAAATAAATCATCTATATTTAATAATAGTTTCTGAGAAAACAATTGATAATACTTCATTCACTTTACCTTGGGTAGAATAATTTTTCTATCATTGATTGTAAGTTCTATACAATATTTCGAATGGTATCGATGCCTAAAATGAAATTTAATGAATTTCATAGAAATAATATAAACATAAAATATGAAATATAAAATTTTATAAAAATATAAAAAAAATGATGTTTTTCAGCATAAATTTTTTTACCGCTTTACGAATATTAGATTTAAATTGGATTAAAATCATTTTTCATACATTAAAATTTATAATGAAAAAATAAATTTTTCTTCTGGAAATATTTTACTATTTTCAAATCAGTTATATGAAATACAAAAGAGTATTTATTTTTCAATAAAATAATATAAATAAAAATATAATAATATATATAATAATATAATAATAAATATATAATATAATAATATAATAAAATTTTGTACTTCTAGTCTTGATATTGTTACCATTAATCAATCGAAAGGCTTAATCAAAACGAAAGCGTATCATCTTTTATTTATTCGATAAAGCGATCGCATGTTTGAATCTTATTTGCACATAAATATATTTACATT